AAAAATGAAAACAAATCCCACAGAAGTTACTAACTTTCTGCTGCGGACCCCTCAGCCCTATGGGTGTGGGTTTCCAGACGGTTGATCTCGCAGAGGGTAAGATTGAGAGCTCTGGTGCCACATCACGGCCCTGCTCTGTGGCTCGGCAGAGAGAGAGGGACAGAGTTCCAGGTCAGAGCTCCCCCTCTGGACCTCAACATTCATCCTCCCCACAGGGAATTACTGAACATGAAAGCTCTGTCGAACTGCCTCTCGGTGTGCTCTGCCACCACCCAGGTGGGAGGCCCTGGGCCAGTCACCTCACCTCCAGAGTCCCAGGTTCCTTCGTCTGTATAATGAAAGAAAATCTGTCTGCATGGTTTGATCTCTAAGACTCTTCCTCCATCATCGGAATGTTGGGATTCTTTGTTCTCACTTTTAGCTATACTCGAGGCAAGTATATACAGCTGGATTTTGTGGGAAGAAATGGAGAAAAGAAAAGAATTGGGAGCATCTTCTGAGGAAGTCATTATTGAGAGTGGTTAGATTTTATCTGTCCTAGGATCTGCTCATGACCCGTACAGATCTTTGGTCCCCGCCTGAAACTTGTTGGCAAACCAACTAGTAAGTCTGGTTCTTTTTTCTCATGGGCACGCTCGAGTCAAGGCTGTCACCGCATATGTGATGCTGGGAGAATCAAGAGAGAAAGCAAACAGAAGTGCACCATTTACAACCCGCATGCCAGGCCCTTCCCTTTCTGTTTCTTGCAAGCCCAAAGTGGCAAAGTAAAAGGGGATAAGCAAACGCTCTGCTCTTCCTTGGAGCCCAGGATTCCTCTCCATAGTCAAAATGGCATCCTGAGCCTGGGTGGGCAGCTGCTGCTCTCTCCTCGCCAGATCCTCACTCACTGCTCTGCGTGTGTCTGACACAGATGCACACGAGAGGTGGTGCAGCCTACATGTGCTGCTGGGTACACTCTGGAGAATGACATGTATTTACACCCCCATTGGAAATGTCTTATTTGTGGAGGAAAAAAATGCATACAGTCAGTTATTGCCTTGTCTTTCTTGGGGAGGGAATGGCTGGCTAAGGTACTGGTTTGCAGAAGTCTTGCAGTAAAGACAGCCTGGCCTTACAGTATTCAGGCACACAGGATCACGTTCCCAAGGAATAGAAGTCCAGTGTCATCTGGACAGAACTGCATCACCATCTTACTGTTTCCCCCTGGGGCTTTGTCTCTGCCCTCTGCGTGTTCCTGAACTGGATGTGTTCTCTGCCTTACCTTTTCTTCTTGGCCTCTAGGACTCATCTCTATGAAATTAAATTTACCTCTTAAATGATCAGCACGAATTGAGGGCTCTGACTTCCTATGCTTAGAGCCAGAGCCAGGTCCTCAAGTAACCCATTTTCCTGAAGCGCTTCTACCCAGGTGTCTGAAAATGCTTGCTTTTGTGGCAAACTTTCTCCAATTAGGTTAAAGTTCCTGCATCCCTAGAGGAGATATGGGAAATCTTCACCTCATATGGCTAAGATAAAGCAATTATCTAGCAAATACTTATTTCTCTAATTAGTCATATTTGCTATATATAGTGCAGATAATACTTTTTTACCTGCAAAACCCAGAATATTTTGAATTAATGCCATAAAAGTTTAGCAACCCCCTCCAAGAATGATTGTATATTTAAATTTGAGAATAATTTCTATTCTACGAGTGATTGTCATGATCCGAGAAGCTCTTCTTCTACCTGTGGACACCTGGTATGAGAGCGGGATTGCGATGTTACCACACTTTTCATCATATCTGACCTTCCATCACCAGTCCTACCTTCAGTTTCATTTAGATTCGAGGTTTCCATTTGACTGTGTTTGCAAAAAAAAAAAAAATCTATGAGGGCCTAAGCATTTTACAGTGCTACGGGAAATGCAGCAGACCTGAGTGGGACTCACTGAGTTTCTTTAGCATTTTGATGACATGGGTCTATGAGTTCTGGTGAATCAAAGTAAAAATGAAACTCAGGCATGATGAAACCAATTGGAACCGCTGAAATGGTTACTTGGGTCCCACAGAATTGGCTTCATTCTCTCAGGCTGGAGGACAGAAGTGGGGCCTAATGCACGACACCTTTCCTGGGCTGTTATCACTCAACAGCTCAACTAGAGAAAGACATTTTTCAACAACGGATTTGGTTTTTAAACTGGAGCTCTGCACAGACTTCAGTAAATGACACAAAGCATACTGATCTCTATAAGGAACAGGATAAATGCACTATACCACTTTTCAAGTTACAAAAATTGAATTTTAATCCCACCCAACATTCATGCTATATTCGTAACTGGATGTGGGTGGATGGGGACAGTGGCGGGCTGACACACAAATGACATTGTTTTCAAATGTTTTAATTCGGTCAGCAATTGACTCAGGGAAGAGAGTGGAGGCAGGGAAACAGCCAAGGCCTCTTGCGGAACAGGCTGTTCACATTCTCTGCTCTGTCTTCCCTGCTGGAGCCTCCCAGAGGCTGAAAGGGTGCACAGAAATTTGTTGTGTAAATGACATTTTAAAAGAAATATTTTGTTCATTTGTAAAACAGAAAGACTAATATTTACCTATCCTACCTCAGAGGGGAGCCATAAGTTTCCAAGGATATCATACTTGTTTACAAACTAGAATATGCTGTGATGTGGAACAGTTCACTGTGTTCATGTTAGAACATTCTTAAAGGGAGGGTAGGCATCAAAACCGCTGACTGCTGCCTGGGAATTCAGGTAGGAGGTACAGTAGTTTCAGTTGCCTCAAGGCAGGAAGAATTCTCTCTCGTGCAGACACAAAAGTATTCCACACAATTGCAACTGAATATTGGTGTGCTTTTGTTCTCATGAAGCATCGGGTACAGTATGGATTAAAAAATCTCTGAAACTGCAGCACCCTAAGAATACTGAGGCCATGTGGTGTCAAGGACCAAGATAGCTCTTTGGCTCATCACTGGGTCCTAAAAATGTCTCTAAGGACAGCAGCCTTGGAAAAGAAATGCAGATGAACATCGACCACCATATTTTTCCCATTTTCTCTTTGAAAATTATAAAGTCTGCCTGAAACCTGTCACTCCTTTCTTGAGCATCAGCTACAATAACTTAATTTTGCAAAATCTAATATTAAATTATAAAACACTTTTGGGCTTTCCAATGTTTTTTCATGTGCATTTTTTCACAATGAGCTTGAACTTCTTTTTCTTATTCCCCAGAGTACCTAATGAAGTGCTAGACAAGCAACAGACACATGAGAAAATCTTTCTGAGGACTGATTGATTAAGAGAAAACAAGTGAATATTAGCTATAAACTGTTAACACACGCCTACATGGACAATTTAATGTAGCTGGAATGGTAAAAAAGTTTGCAGAAGTGGGATTTTTATAACTCTATTGAGTTAATCAATTACTTGATGACAACCCTTCCTCCATATAAAAGCTAACTTCAGAATTAGAATGGATAAGTGAGAAATATTTTACCTTTATATATTAATAATTATGACATATGAAACTGATTTTCATTAGATAGCATATAAGAACCTGCCTATTTTGAGAGTGACACTATAGTACATCTGTCTCTTCAAATATTTATTTCAAAATGTATTTGTTATTATTTTGTCATATCTTTTTCTTAAGCAGTTGAAGTGAAATTTCTTACTGCACATTTCTCCTAAGCCTGACTAGACAATGAGGTGGTGGTGTTCAATAAATGCATGATAAAGCTCTTTTGCCCAGCCTCAATTTTAAAGGTAGAATTTTAATTTTCTTTCTGTAAGAAGAGAAAAATAAGCACAAACTCCATCTCTCTTTTGTATCAGGAACATTGCCTTGCTTAATTGCTGACAGCCCCGATTTACTAAGTAGTGAACAGTTAAGCATGCACCATTACATTCCTCAGGACACCTCTTTGATGGATGCAATAATTTACTGCATCGAGTAGGTCTGCTTCTCCTTGATTTATGGACTTGGCAATAATATTCCATCTCACAGAATGCTTTGCTAGGAGGAATCTGGATCTAGGCACTAAAATGTTTATGGCCTCCGCAGGAGGAGGTGGGATGCTGGTGGTGGCCTCATTACCACAGCAGAGAGAACAGAGGGGTTTGCTTGTGGCCCCCTAGCAAGTCAGTTATTCATGGAGCAGAATCTAGGTCTCCTGATGCCTACCACACAATCACAAAGGCAGACAACTCCCAGGGGAGTTTGCCCAAATCATGTGCACGACCACAAAAGGGGAAACGACGTCTGGGATGCTCGCTGCAGAATCCCCATAGCAACCCATCGCCATTTCCTTTCAACAGCACATAAAGCACACCGAAGGGTATCCAGCAACATAAAATCCTAATGGCGCCCTTAATTAGAGGGGATCATCACTTTAACTCCCCGACCTCCCACAGTCCATACTAGCAGCCCCAAATTCCTCTTCGGGGTGCCGAATCCTAAAGGAAGATGTAGTTACAGAAACAATCTTTGCCTTACGAAAGACCATCAAGCTCTGATGATGATGCAATTTGATGGCAGTAATGTCAGACTTTATATGACCATAATCCAAGTTTACCATGAAACATTAAGTTATAATGCTACTATTTATATCACCATAACTCAGTTTATAGTGATATAAATAGTCATGCTAATGGCATTAACAGCAGCACTCTGTGGAGTCACAGCCATTGAGTGCCACTTTTATGCTATTAGCATTACTATTCATATCACCATAAACTTAGGTAGTCAAACTTGTTATAAATGAATATACAAGGAAGATGGATATCCACCTTTAATGACCAAATCTAGGATCCTGTATCAGAGACCTCATGATTGTTACTTTCCTCTAGGTATTGGAGTATTTCAAGCTCTCCATTTTGCTCTGTTTATGTCACATGATGTTTCTTTAAGAGTTACAGAAGAACAAGTCTGTTTCCTGTCATCCTCTGATTTACTGGAAAACAGCATTTAAAAGTGACAAGAAAGCCCAAGCCACAGGGGTTGGGCAAACTTACTGTCTCCTTGGCAGCGCAGGGGTCCCACACTCAGTTTGGCTTCTGAGCCTTGCCGGTCAGTATCTCCAACCACCACCTGGCTTACAGGCAGGTGATCTTTGTAGGATAAGAAGCCAGCATCCTTCCTCCTGAATCACAGAGAAAGACAGAAGAGGCTGAGGAGGCTAAATTGGAAACAGGTCTTTCTGATAATTGTTTAAGTTGTCTAACAATTGATCACATTCCGTAAAATTTCAGAAGTTCACTTCCTAGAACCACAAAGAGTTATTCTCTCTCTTCCACTGGGTGGCCTCACAGCTCACTGCTCAAGAGCAACCGTGACATATTTGCCTTCTGGGAAACAGAACTGACACTGCGATTCCCAGAGAGTCACAGCCAATAAATATGCTGCCTATCACTTTAGACTGAGAGTCGCCTATCACGCTGCTTGAAGAACACTCACCGAATGCTAAGCATGCATGTAGCTTGCTGTCGTCACGGCACCAAAAGGTCAGCAAAGTCAACCTGCTCTTGCAAGTTATATGAAACAAAACTCACTTAAAAAAATCCTTGTTTCCTTAATTGCTTTGAAGCAGTTGCTTCAGAGGCTTTCTTCCCTATAGTGCATCAGCTAAATAAGGGATACCCTGTTTCTTCATCTTTTCTTGTTAAACAACTGAAAGAATTTATGTGAAGTTTTCAAATAGAACAGGTGCTCACAAAGTGCCTATTTCCATCTGTAACTGAGGAGAGGAGTGGATATTCACGGCCGGTTTGGGTTTTCTCCTCGGGGCTTCCTCCTGTTTATACTCACCTGTTTCAGGTGTCCTACCTCTTCCCTGTACCCACTCTGAATAAATGAGGAGGACAAAGTGAGTCGCAGAGTACTGCCTGTAGGATGGAGCTTAGAAATCCGGATGTTTTGGGGGATGGACCCATGTGAGTTAAAGGGGAGCACAGGTTTCCCCTCATCCTATTTTCATACTGCTGTGGCTGGGGGATCCCCTTATTTGGGGCTAGGTGGGTGGAAGGCACACATCACTATAAAGTCATTCCATAAATCTACATTTCACATGATTTTTTGTACTTTTCAGCCTGAATATGAATAACAATTTTAAAAGTGTACATACAACAGGTCACAGAAAAGAAAACTGACTTTGAATGATAGAAGAATGAGGGAGAGAGTTCAATAATCAGGTTAAAGCTTTGCCATTTGCATCTTGGCAAATAATGCAGGAAATTGAGGGGAACTCAGGTGGAAGCCTGCCTTTAAAATGCTATGCTGTTAATAGCAGTTACATATCCCCCTGAACTTCAGGAATGCCAGAGAACGTACACTTCCTCAGGTGTCAAAACCCACAGAAACCCCGGGAGGAGTCACAGAATTTAGACAGTGGGTCTCAAACAAGTGTTTTTCACACTGCCTTAGTTATTTCATTGCCTTTGAGTTTCCAAAATGAAGGGTTCTTTTAAAAAATGTGTTAATCAAATGGGAACGTAGATCATGCAGAAAAACACTGATTCTTATTGACATTGTAGCTACTGATGACCTGGACTCAAATATCTCAGTGGAATCTTTTGCAAACCCAACTTCTTTTATTAAAAAGTCTATGTCAGAGAAGGAACAAAGACTTTGCTATTAAACTTGGTATGCAGTGTTTCTTAAAGACACAATAAACAAAAGTACCCTTTAACAAAACATACTGTAATTTCATAGCCTACCAGAGAAAATGTGTACTACTATGAAACCTTGGGCTGAGATTCTCTACAAGCTCACGATCACTTAGAATTAGGTGACTGATGAGAAGTCTGCAAACTAAGTCCTGAAACCATTCGTCGTGTTACCTGTTCTCCAATGGCTCACGGGCTAAGAATGATTTTTACATTTTAAATGGTTGAAAAATCAAAAGCAGAATAATATTTTATGTCATATGGAAATGATATGAAACTCAAAGCCAGTGTCCAAAATATAAAAGTTTTATTGAAATACGGCCACTTTTTTCTTTTTAAACATACTGCCCGTAGTGCTCCCACACTTCAAGGGCAGAACTAAGGAGTTGTGAGAGAGACCATGTGGCCCTCAAAGCCTAGCATAGGTATTATCTGATCCTTTATGGAAAAATTTCCAGTCATCAGCATCCATTACTCCTTTGGGAATTTATCGAACATATACTCTTCTGACTATCATGATGGGCTGCATGCAACAGCTCATCTCCGTTGAGCGTGGGGTTAGGGAAAGGGCAAGAGGTATGTCTGAGGCAGTTAACAGTGAGAAATAACTTACACTTTATTATAAATGATTAACTTTTTGATTGACCGCACTGTGCAGCCATCGTGTTAGGATGCTTGATATCCTTTATGACACTTGGTATTGTCAGTTCATGTATGATGAGTGAGAAAGAAACCACTTTAAAGCAAAACTTGTGCTAATGTAAGAGCAATATGAATATGAAAACAAATGTTTGTAAATATTCCCATCATTATGTAATCTTATTGCTGAAATTGATATGTGTATAACTTAATGAAATTTTCACATCTACACACTTCCATAACTTCAAGTATAACTTTAAAATCGTTGCAATAATCTTAAAGTTATAGAGTTCTTCTGGTTTTAGAGTTATTTTTTAATGCTGAGATGGGTCATTACTCGGTAATTTTGCAAACAAAACTGAGTAAATCAGAAGTGGTAGAAATTTGAAAGCCACATTTTGTCAAAACCTTTGTATTATTGGTCAATAAAACTGAAAAATTAGCATCATGATTCATTAGGTGCATTAATAATGTACTTTTATCTAGTTTGACATACATACTCTTAGGTAACATTTTTCAATCTGATAGCCAATAAAGTCAAGTATCAAAATGAACAGAGCAGAGAGGCAAATCTTCAAATAGTAGGATTATATAAAATAATAATATATATTCAATTATGCTGCAGTTAAAAAAAATCTGAGAAAAATTACTAATTTCTATTAATATTTTAAAGAAATGATCATTAATTACAAAATTAAAACTTTGTCATTTTAAATGGCTTGCTTTACATGGAATATGAAATATTGGTTCATCAGAACCTGTACCTTATTTTTATACTTGTTTGTAAACCTAAGTTCAAATTTTTTAATGATGGGTAAGGATCCCAAAATAGGAAGAACATTGCTCTAATTCATGGAAAACAATAATAACAGGCCATCTGTCATTGAGTACCTTTGTATACTGGTTTGCTTTGTGTGTATAACTTTAAATATGGAACCAAATCTTCCTTATAGGCATCATTATCCCCACTTGACTGATGAGAATCTGAGAATTTATCTCAACTAAGATCTGGTGATCTTATAAATATAGAGTCTGAATTCAAATTGAGATCATCCTAGATATCAAACTAGGATTTGCCACTGAAAAAGAAGGGGAGAGGGACAGAAACAAACTAGAAGAAGACCAAAACCCAAACCCATTACGGCAACTGAAAGTCTTTTTTGTTTAAAATTCTCATGTATGGATGAGGTGAAGGTTACCTTTTTAGTTACATTTCGCCATCCTAAAATGTTGAGGTGTTTTGCAAGTAGTAAGTTCAGAGATATCTGTAATGTTTTATGTACTCCATTTATGTCCATTAATGAAATTTTCACATCTACACACTTCCATAACTTCAAGTATAACTTTAAAATTGTTGCAATAATCTTAAAGTTATAGAGTTCTTCTGGTTTTAGAGTTATTTTTTAATGCTGAGATGGGTCATTACTCGGTAATTTTGCAAACAAAACTGAGTAAATCAGAAATGGTAGAAATTTGAAAGCCACATTTTGTCAAAACCTTTGTATTATTGGTCAATAAAACTGAAAAATTAGCATCATGATTCATTAGGTGCATTAATAATGTACTTTTATCTAGTTTGACATACATACTCTTAGGTAACATTTTTCAATCTGATAGCCAATAAAGTCAAGTATCAAAATGAACAGAGCAGAGAGGCAAATCTTCAAATAGTAGGATTATATAAAATAATAATATATATTCAATTATGCTGCAGTTAAAAAAAATCTGAGAAAAATTACTAATTTCTATTAATATTTTAAAGAAATGATCATTAATTACAAAATTAAAACTTTGTCATTTTAAATGGCTTGCTTTACATGGAATATGAAATATTGGTTCATCAGAACCTGTACCTTATTTTTATACTTGTTTGTAAACCTAAGTTCAAATTTTTTAATGATGGGTAAGGATCCCAAAATAGGAAGAACATTGCTCTAATTCATGGAAAACAATAATAACAGGCCATCTGTCATTGAGTACCTTTGTATACTGGTTTGCTTTGTGTGTATAACTTTAAATATGGAACCAAATCTTCCTTATAGGCATCATTATCCCCACTTGACTGATGAGAATCTGAGAATTTATCTCAACTAAGATCTGGTGATCTTATAAATATAGAGTCTGAATTCAAATTGAGATCATCCTAGATATCAAACTAGGATTTGCCACTGAAAAAGAAGGGGAGAGGGACAGAAACAAACTAGAAGAAGACCAAAACCCAAACCCATTACGGCAACTAAAAGTCTTTTTTGTTTAAAATTCTCATGTATGGATGAGGTGAAGGTTACCTTTTTAGTTACATTTCGCCATCCTAAAATGTTGAGGTGTTTTGCAAGTAGTAAGTTCAGAGATATCTGTAATGTTTTATGTACTCCATTTATGTCCTAAATAAAAGAGGCATAAAAAATACCCCATCCCCAAGTTAACCACGGTTTTTAATGGTACATTGAAATTTATAAAAGGTTGCAGTTCAATAATAGTGAACAATGTTCACATATTCCTTACTAGACCAAGAAAACAGAAAAAAATAATTATCAGCTGAGAAAAAAGATGAAGTTACCTCCCCCATCACTTTGGTAAAAGATTTAAATAGGGCTCCAGTGATTTCAGTCACAAACAACTGTGTGAAACTCACAAAGACTGGACTCTGCTGGAAACATATTGATTGTAGAAACAAATTTTGGATAGCAAACTTTGACTAGTACAAGGTTTCTGATGTGATCCTACAGCACAACCCACTTACAAAAAATGATAAGTGAAAAGAAAATAAACAGATCTGGAGAGGGACCCTCTAAACACCTGTAAGATTTCTATCGTAACACCTGTGTGAAAATTATAA